AAAAAAGAATCTATTTTAATTCGTAGATACTTGTGATTTGGCACATACACATATGTGAATGTGACTATTTCGGCCAGGATTTATTGGGATTGTGCATACCGAACATAAGTTATTCGATTATTAAACTCCTATAGTAAAGCCCATTAAGCAATCTAAATGTAAGTATATGTTGTTTCTATACTGCTGCCTAGAGCACAGTTAGTTGTTATAGATAAGGAAAATTTATAAAAATTTAAAGATGAAAATATCAAGTAGGTAATGGTGGGGGGAAAATGATTTGGACTGCTTTGAATGTGATGATACTTATAGCTTCGAGAAAATCAGTTGCAATATACTAAGAAAGTATTACACAATACAATATACATTATATAGTATTACCCATTAACAACAATCCTTATTTAAATACGTCTACGCGTGAGCAGTTAAAATTTGTTAAACATTATTTTTGAGAATTGCAGTTGATGATAGTTTTTTTCGGTTTTGCGTCATAATAAATCACAGTAAATCTTTTTAGAGGCCAAGCTGGCCATTAATTAGGATCTTTCGTTCACTGGCAGGGGAAGCCGCTAATTAAACTACCCCCAAAAGTATGCAATGCTCCATTGCAGCAGTAACTGCAGTGCTGGTCGGGCGGGTGAGGTGGGGCAAGCTTTTACGCTGTGACTAATTCATGCAAAGTTGGCGTTCAACTGCAGTTGGAAAAAGCGCCACAAAAACTGTTATGAAATTCATTTAAAACAGAAGTTAAAAAGTCGCCAAAAAACAGAAATGACAAAAAAATGTGAAATGGGAAACGAAAGTTTTATCCTCGTAACAAGGCAGAGGCAGCTAAAGTTGGCCGTTGATGAACTGCGACATGGACGTGGACACATATAGAGAGCTGTGCTATTCCTCTCAGGTCCTCCGACTCAAAACGAGTCAATTTAAGCGGCTTAGAAGCCGGCCTTTGGTCAGTATAGAAATTGCGAAAGCGCTGCGTATGCGTTATATTTGTGAATTTATTTTTGTTTTGGCTCGTAATCAAATTTACATATTTGGGCCACTGAAATTAATTATAATACCGCCACACACATACACACACACAAAACCCACATTGAGAGTCAAAGCCACAGAGCGAGAGATAGAGAGAGAAGGTTAGTAGTGCGAGTAAGTGAGAGAAATGCTATGAATACGAATTGCGGTGCAGCTTTTGGCTTTGGCTTTGCGGCTCAGCGCCAGCGCCATCTCCATCTCATTCTCTGACTGAATGTGTTGGTAATTTCATTTGGCTATTTCGTTTACTTCCCTCGCATACCCCCTGCACACCCACACACACACACATGGCAAAACTCATTTCATGGGTCACAGGGTACAATCATATGAGAGGGCAACTGAGCAACAGAAAAAACCTGGCCAAAAATTGATTATGGTGAAGGCTGCACCGCCCCAGGGTCGAAGTAGATGGCAAACCGAGCAACTATCATCAAAATCCTATTAGTTGGCCTTGCACATGGAATAGAATAGAGCTTTGTCCTTGTCCAGTTGCCTGCGTTTTGTCAGCGTTTATTTGCCAAATTAATTCCCAAAAAGGTAAGCCAAACTTGCGATTTGAAACAATCAGCGCTGTCAAGGTTGGAGCTTTCTACGCACACCCCTTTTCACAGCCACACACACACGCGCGCATACAAAAGAAAAGTCCTTTTGTCCTTTTCGGTCTGCTGCTGTTGCAACTGTTGTTTGCCCAGCGGGCAGAAGATGCCACCTGGGCTATAGCACACAATTTGTGACAATTCCTTTTTGTGGATTAATATTTGCTCTGGTTCTGTCCCTGGCCAACACCGGAGCCCGGACGGGCGGACTCTACGTCCCTTTTGTTGCTGGCATTGCTGTTCGCTTAACTTCACTCGGGAATCCTGACCGGTTGCGCTTTTCCTCTGCTCCGGTCCTTTCGTTAGTTTCTATTTGTTTCTACACTTTATTTAAATTAACATGCGCATATTTTTTAATAGTCTTGCCAGCAAGTGTTGCCAGAAATTCAGAGATCTGCTGAAGGCGCCTCAAAAAGGCTTTTTTAAACAAAGGGCTGTGCTTGTGATTTGAGTCCCAGGATAATTATTTTTAATGCTGCGCTCATTGTTTTAGAACTTTATAATGCTTGAGTTTCTCCTGCTCAGGGTTGTCAAATTATTGCTAAAATTAGCAGCAAGTGGCTAACTTTTTCTGGTCCATACGCGATCTTTTTTCACTTACATAGATTCAGGCTAAAATTCAGTATTGCGTCAACTATGACAAAATCTACAATTTAACTAATTTTTGCGATTATCAGGCTTAAAAGAGTCATTGTCATAAAGTCATAATGCCACTGAAACTACAAAAATCTATATATTTCCCTTAAGCCTTTCTGAATGTATTTACTAAATCAACACTCAAATAAAGGAGATTTTTCATTTTATTATTTTTTTATTATTTATTATTATTCATTGAGATCTCGTAAACTTTTTGAATTTAGTTTAATGTATATTTTATATAATTTTTATTTTTGCATAAATCTTGTATGAGTTAAAATACAAGTTTCCCAGCTTAAAGGCTTTAAAGATTTCAATTTGAAGGAAAAAATTTAAAGGATAGGCTATCCCATTTCCAGCTGAACATATTTAAGTTAAGTGTAGCGTAACTACAGAATTAACCAAAAGAAGATACTAGCCGATGTACATACTTATGGCCCCCAAAACAAATTTTTCTATGGTCTCTTCTGGCCTCAATTCCACTTGCAGAACTTTATTATGTGCTAATAGCTCCAGCGTACAGAGTAGGAAAAAGCAATTTCATTAATAAACATATTTTTATTGCAACTTGTATAAAAGATCTTAATCAAAAATAAATCAACTTGTATAGAGACATACATGTATATACGTATTCACTGTAGAAAATGAATTTATTGAGTACCCTGCGATTCACTCTAATAAATTATTTAATTTGGTAATTGGCCCCAAAATAAATGTGCCCTCCACTTTGGGGTAATTGAAAAGTGCGCTTAGCAGCGAACGCAATAAGAAATACTTAAGCAGGACAAATGTGGGCGGCGGCATATATGTATTAGCTTTCAAAATACATAGTAGCACGAGCGATGCAGTCGCAGATAAGAGATACCAGCATTTTGCCTTACCCAAGTGAACAGAACTTGAGACAGTCACGACCAAGAATATTTCGCGGACTGGAAAGTCTGAGCTACTTCCACTACAGCTAAAAAAATAATAAATAGCATGGTCGAAAATGACTTTTTACTCCTTTGCCCGTGCAAGTGCCACAAGTAGGGCCGATTAGGTGAGGTCTGGTGGCTTTGACATCTATCCTGATATATGGCGGAGCATACATGAAACTCCTTTTTGTGTACATCGCACAATGTCTGACAAAGTTGGCGTCGTTTGTTTTTTGACCGCCTTGCGATTCTTTCTGGTCAGTTCTCTCGGTGCCACACTAAGACGCCACTTGAGGGACACTAATACGCCTACCATGCAGCAGGAAGGATTTTTGCTTTAAAAATTCGCAGTTCTCTTGCCTGAACTGTACGTAGTCGTTATCTTGTATCCATGGGGAAACGCCATAATAAATTAGTATGAGCAGAGTTTACTTGAATTCCGAAGGAATTTTACTATGAATTAAGTTTAACGCTTCTTGACACTGAAGCATGCAACACATTCAGGGTATTTCAAAGCGATCCTTCTCAACTCAATACCTCCAACTTCTTTTCTTTATGGTTTCGGTCATTTTAACATTATTTAATCTATCGTTTACACGCACATATTCTCGTCTTCCAGATCAAGAAAAAAAATAATTTTGTTTTATTTTTTATTTTTTATTCATTTTATTTTGTTACATAAATTTTCACAAAAACATTTTCAACTTTTTCAATGGGTTCAGAAATTTTATTTTTGTTTAAAAACTAAATATTCATTGCTTAAGATAGAGTTCGATTAAATAGTACTTTCCACAGTCTTAGAGCTAGAGTCCCATAGCCTAGCTCGTGTGATTCTCTGTCAGCATCCTCCACATATCAACATCAAAATTATATGACAAAGGCAGAATATATATTCCAGTAGGCAGCTGCCATGAAAAATATATTGTATATTTATCCACGCTCAACGGGGCGTGGTAAGTCGTAAAGAGCTATAACTTCTTGAAACAGAACATTTGACGGGTAAATTAATGTAGATCTCTTCTATAAATTTAACAACAATTACCTCTTGATTGCACGCAAATCTCTTATCCACACTAGAAGAAAACGTGATAAATCGGAACCGGAATATATTCCCAAGATTTTTAGATAATACCGAACTCTTCTTCACATAGACCTAAATATTTCACGATCTATCTATTATACATTTGATACAACTTACATTACCAATTTTGAAATTTTAGAAAACAATTTTGTTTTAGGGACCAAGCTTGACTGAAGTCTAATTGGCTATATTTAAATGCAATTTAATTTTTGCAAAAATCCTAATATATACCACTTTTGATCTGCATAAATTGACTCTTGATTTTAGACTCAGGAATTTTTTCATAATATAGCATTATGTATTTCAAAATATTTCAATGCATCAAGTTCAAGCCCGAGCTGAAAATCAAATTTTTCGAGAGCAAACAAATCGATGTTTAAATCGATGTTAGAGAATTAATTGCTTGTTATTGATGTCGCAATTCAAACGGTAACCACGCAAGTGACAACACTTTGCGTACACTTGTGAATTTTATTGGCATCGGCTTATTTCCCCACCAAAAACAAGAAAACACAAGAAAATCGATGATGAAATAATAGCGCCAACTAAACTTAACAGCATCTGTTCTCTCTTGCGAGCACATGGGCCAGCTGTCGAGTCGAAGACATTGCGTAATTTTGCAAGTCGCTCAAATCAAGTTTTCCATAAGCAACAGCAACGAAAGTGAGGCGCAATATTTTTGAAATTTGTAAAACATTTTCCACGCGTGCTATTCAGTTTTCATTCATTGCTTGGCGAGGTTAGTCGCTTGGAAAACTGAGCTGCAGATCTACGTCTAAGACTAAGGCTAAGATGAGCGAACTCATACGACGCGTTGTGCTTCTGGCATTGCTTGTTTGCCTAGTTCGAGGCGATGATCCCTTTCTGACTGAGCCGCGTAAGTGTCAAGTGGATTGTGTGCTTACTTATCAAGCTTAACGCTTATATCAAGCTTCGATGAACTGAGGTTCGCAAATGCATTTGCCGAATGTAGCGCTTGCTTTTAACTCAATTTTAATATCAATTGCAAATCATTTGATGCTGGTTGGGCCGGCACGCAATGTAACTAACCCACTTAATGGTTTATTGCCAAATATTGCACCACTAAACCGGATCTGTTTCTCTGCATTTATTTGTGTCTTTTATTTTGAAATTCAACTCCACTGAAATCAAAAACCTCAATTTTAATCGAACCGCAGCAGATTACATTAAAGAATGTAAAATAGCCGATAAGAATTTCGTCAACTGCTCCACGCAAAGCATTCAACAGCTCTTCGACAAACTAAACGATGGTGAGTCGCTGATATAGACACCGGTTGGGGTATCTAAGCAGCCGCGCCCACTGCATATTACAGGAATTCCGGGTCTGACAAGTATCAAGAGCTTTGATCCCTTCCACTTGAACCGAATACGAATATCCCAGGGCAATAGCAATGCGATCAATCTAAAGGTCGAGCTGGCTAATATAAAGATCTTTGGATTTGGTCACACCAAAGTGCTAGAGAGCCTGTAAGTCCAGCTGTATATAGAATATATCTATATTCGTTATGTTTACTGTACTCTCCTTTGGTAGTGTTTTCAAGAAGGACTACAGCTGGAAGACCACATTCACGTTGCCGGTAATGAAGCTTCAAGGCGATTATAGTTTGTTTGGGCGTATTTTGCTCATACCTCTAAATGGACACGGCCAGGTCTTTTTAGATGCAGGTGAGCAGTGTTTCCTGATATTCGCTTCAAACCAATCACTCGTACCCCTTTGCAGAGAACATGACTGTTACTATGCACACCAAGACGCGACTGTACTCAAAGGGCGGCTTCACCTTTTACAATGTGACCAACTGCCGCGTAGACTTCAAGATGGATGGCTTGAAATCATACTTCTCCAATCTGTTCAACGGCAACAAGCAATTGGGTGAGTAACGGGAAGGCCTGTCCCTGTGTCTCTCCCTCTCTCTCAACAACTCGATCCCTCTTCAGAGGACAGCACCAACAAGTTCTTCAATGATAACTGGCGAATGCTGGCAGATGCTCTTTACACAGTTATCACGCAGACCATAGAGGACATTCTGCTCGATGTTCTGAAGAAGATTTTCCACTTCATACCAGCGAATTACTTTGTCAGCGACATTCCCACTCCGGAGCAGCTTTATGGTAAAACGAAGCCGAAACCAAAATAAACATAATTAAACAACTGCGAGTTTTTGATGTTATTTATTGGTTTCGGTTATCGAAATAAGACTATTTAAGCTAACTATTCAAGGTAATCGTAATATATGTCTTGCCAACCTCTTTTTTAGATTTTTAAAACCACTATTAATATAAATTTCTACTATGTTCATTTAAAAGATGGCAAAAAATATATTTTGGCAATTGTGCTTACTGAATGTTTCATTTGATTAAATATTACTTTCAGGATTAGAATAATTTGGAGTTTAATCATTTGGAGTTATTGCTTACTGAATGATTAAATATTATTTTCAGGCTTAGAATAATTTGGAGTTTATTGTTATATTTCTTTAGAATTTTAAAACCATTATTAATATAAATTTCTACTATGTTCATTTAAAAGATGGCAAAAAATATATTTTGGAAATTGTGCTTACTGAATGTTTCATTTGATTAAATATTACTTTCAGGCTTAGAATAATTTGGAGTTTATTGTTATATTTCTTTAGAATTTTAAAACCAATATTAATATAAATTTCTGCTATGTTCATTTAAAAGATGGCAAAAAATATATATTGGAAATTGTGCTTACTGAATGTTTCATTTGATTAAATATTACTTTCAGGCTTAGAATAAAATGGAGTTTATTGTTATATTAAAAGAATAAATAACACTTGCTTAAAAAGCAAGCATTTTGGTTCTCAATGCAATAGCATAATAACCAAATTTATCATTTATTTTTAAAGATCGATAAACAACGATAAACAAGATCGAAAAAGTAAGAGAGCTCTAGTCCAAACGAAACGCAGTTCCCGCAGCGGCTGTGCTACGTCTCTACAGTCGAAACACTACTGTTGTATTTCTTTTCTTCTAGATTGAACTTCTTAATCAAAATTATAGAGCATGATAATGATATATGTGTGTATTTGCCAAAGCACAAGTTTATAGTATTTGAAATATGTTTTTTGGAAATTTGAAAGGAAGAGAGGAAGGTACCCAAAACCCAAAATATAAATCTGAAGTCTTCAGAATTTGCGGTATTCAAGCTATGCGACTTTGGTTGGTAATAAGATGAGTTATGAGTTATAGCTTTTATCCTTGCTTTAAGACTATGTAAATTAAGTGTTTATATAAAGTGAATATTCAATCTGTAAACAATCTCGAAAACTACTCTTGTAGCTATTGAAGACGCATTGTCTCTAAACTATATATCAAAATGGAAACTATTCAAAATATTTATACTCGAGCTTGATATACACGAGTTGAAATATCAAACGCCAAATCTCTAGCGCCATAACTAATAGCCTTTCTGTAGTGGAAGTAACTTTCGTAACAACTGCTTGAACGAGGATGCCACAAATATATTTAACGATACTTCCAACCGAAAAACGTATTTAAAATCGTCAATGTTAAGAGTATGACTAGCAATGCAAATGTTCTTGGGCCAGTCATTATAGCCACGTTATTGATCGTGGAGGCAATTGTGGCTAATTCTAATTAGTTGATGTCATTATGACTCTTCTGAAAAAAAGTCCCATATCTGTGATCAAGTTTGAACTTTTGGGACTATGTGGGGTTAATTCTCTTCAATATCGGCAGGCATGCGAATAGGCAGACGGACAGTGCCCAAGAAACCCATATACTCTTTTCAAGTTCTGAACGAGTACAAAAACAAAGCAAGCAAATTGATACAATGAAGTTATTTGTTGCCTGCCGCATAGGGAAGATTATTTGAATTCTGATATTTGAGCAGGTTACTAGTGTTTTAGCTCAAGGCAAATTTGAAAATTAGAAAACAAATATGAATTCATGGTAAGTGCGACAGATGTCCTTGATCGTAAATGAATTTGTGTTAATTTTGGCCAATGGGAGGCTGCGCGATTCTCTCAGCGACATGTTGCGCACCAATCGCCACGCAGACTGCAGATTCATTATTGAGACTTCGGCAGGAAACAAGGTTTTTGCGTGTCACAAATTGATCTTGAGCTGTGCCTCGGAGGTGTTTGATCGCATGCTCTTTGGCAGCTACAATGAGTCCACTAGCGGAGATGTGAAGCTGAACGATGTCGAGCCAAAGGTGTTCGAGAAGTTTCGCGAATACGTGTACAGCTACGATGTGGAAAGGCTTCAATTATACGACTTCGACACACTTGTGAAACTGGCCGAGTTCGGCAACAAGTACCTGGTGGAGTCCATCAAGGACGACTGTGTGCGACAGCTCCTATACCGAAAGGACATGTTCGACGCAGATGAGCTGCTACGCCTCTTTCAGTGCGCGCACACACTGAACAGCGCCACACTGATTGACCAGATCTCCCGCGACCTGAAGAACCACGCAAAGAGGGTGCTCAACCACTCTGCCATATACCAGTTCGGCACGGATGTGTTCAAGTTCTATATTGAGGTTGTCGAGGGCAGACTCAGCGAGGCAGAGCGCTTTAACTTAATTGAAATGTACATCAAGTTCCACGAACTGGACGCGTTTAACGGAGAGCCTGGCGTCACAGATACTGAAACTGATGATGACAAGAAAGCTACTAATACCAGCCAGGTTGCTAATACAGCAGTCGAAGCAGAGGGCAAAGTTAACGCGGACTATATTAGTGATTTACTGGGACTAATCGACTTTTGCAAATTCACGCCTAAAGACTTCTACGAGGGACCTGGCAAATCAAGTTTACTTACTATGCAGCAAAAGTATGAGCATCTCTATAAGATTGCCAGGGCCTGTGCACATGTCGCGGCCCAGGAGGAACTAGAGACCAAGCTAGGCAATTGCTTCCTCTCCTCTAGCTGTCATCCAGATCACGAGGTACAGCGACAATATATGAATCGCCCATATGGTGCTAATTCAAGTCGCCGAGCCGACTTATCAAAACCTGACATGTCGTTTGACTAACTTTTATAATTCCAATATCAGAGTAGTAGTAGTACTAGTAATAGAGCTTCACAAACTGCTCTCATATTAGTCAATATATTAGGTGGACTTCTGCCTTTATTATCCGTGGATAACCACTTTCTTCAGTCATATAGTCTTCACTAATTTGTAAAATTTTTAGTATATCTTCTATTCGCTTCTTTTTCCTACCACTTTCTTCTCTCTTTATTCTCTCTACTATATTTTCCCTTCTCTCATAATTCACATCTCATCTCACTTATCATTTCAATTCTCATCTCACTTCTCATCTCACTTCTCATCTCACTTCTCATCTCACTTATCATTTCAATTCTCATCTCACTTCTCATCTCACATCTCATCTCACTTCTCATTTCACTTATCTTCTCTTCCCTTCCCTTCTCTTTCCTTTTCTCTTCTCGACTCTCTTCTCTTTTCTCTTTTTCTCTTCTATTCCCAACTCTTCTCTCAAAATTTTCTATTGAATACGTGTCGCATCACATAAAAATGCAAACTCTTTCACATTTTTGTATTATTTATAGTCCAAAAAAAGAAATAAAAATATTATAAATTATACTTTAAATGAAGTACAACATTTTTAGATAGATTCAAGATATATGATAATTGCCAATCTCTAAATTTATGCTATACGTAAGATATCTGTTGCAGGTTCCCAGATCGAGAAATTCACACGGACGGATGGGCAGAGCTGATCGACCCGAATGCTGCTAGTTGGTTCAATTTTAACACATTTTAACCATTATGCCCTGAATTCGCACTTTCAATGGGTTCACGGTATAAAAATTGAGCCATAAATATGGAAAGTCCAGCTACAGAATGATGGAAGTATGGTGTTGGCGAAGGTTAACCGCAAACATTGCAAAGCTAAAGTCGTGTGTTTAAATTAATTGCCGCAAACATGCCCACACTCCAAATATGTGGATTTATATATATTTCATACCCTGTAACCAAAAGACAAAGGGAGAGTAGCATAAGTTCCACAGCTGCGCAGCACTAAGAGTAACTCTCTTCTAGTGCTACCTACACAAATATTGCCGATTAAATGTTCTTGATGAAAGATATCATTTCACATTATGGAGCTTCGCGAATTTATATTTTTCAAATAGTTTTATTTTTAATTACAAATCTAACATGTAAGCAGGGTTTTCAATTCTTTTACCCGAAACTTTAAAGTTCTGTCCCATCGAGTACATTTATACTCCTCTCATTTATCTAAAATTTTGGTCTACACTTAAATAACTTAAGTAACTGTCACACGAATTTAGAAATAGTCTAAGTCATTAAGTTATATGCCCTACATCTCCTCTCTAATGACGCTTAACCTTATGACGCGCCCTCGACAAGTCCTTTCATTTCTGCCTAATTAAATTCCGTTCAAGATTAAATTGTTTCATCCAATATCGAACTACTTAAATCAAGTCTAGGTATCTTCCAGTCGGTACGCTCAGTCACATCATTTTTGTTTTGCGCATTGTCCTTTTTTTGCGCATTGCCTTTTTGAAGTCTGCCAATAATTTGTGAATGCAGCGGCTGCTGATGTAGATGCTCATGCTGTTACCGCTGGTTCTCGTTGTTGTTGTTGTTTTACCAGCACCGCAATTAAAACATTTGACGCAGTTGCGACCATTACAAATGTCCAGCAATAATTTTAAATTTAAGTTGCAATTCGTTTTTCTTTATTACTTTTTCGCATATAAATAAGGCTAAATCTATATAAATATAAAATATAAATTTTAATATTCCTTTTTGCAAAGTAAAGCAATCATTATCATTAGTGTTTATTAAGTTAGTAAGTTCATGGGTTATTCTAGCTCGATCTTAATTAATCAATCCATCCAAATGCATTTAGTGCCGAATATGCTCAAATTGTTCATCAGATACCCAAATGCATATATCCAAGTCACATCAGACGCCCCATTCGCAACGTTTCTACTAGTTTCAGCTTTCTATGTAACAAATTCTGTGCGTGGTCTCCGTGAATTCGCAACGTGTAAACAGAGAGATGCGAAAAAGCAGACAGCTGAAAATAGTACGCGAAAACCAAAGATAAATAAATTGAAAAATTTGTTCTGACTGCTAGAATATCCGCATACTCTTTGGCAATGGCGTAAAGCACGGAATAACGAATATAGATATTGAAATAAAATATTAAAATCAAAAGTTATGATATATTGTATATGAATTTTGATACTTAGACTATGAACACGATAGAAAATAAAAAAAATGTTGCTCAAGCTGTTTCTAGTAATGGGGGAATGTACACATATTGATACAATATCGGGTATTTCCGAGGCGGACTCTATTGAATTCCTCATTAGTCAATATATCTTGGCATATCTACACTAAGCTAACAAGATGATGCGTCGCCTGATTGCATCGATCAAAGGAATTCCGTAACAATAAATAAATAAACCTAAAATTGATCAAAACTTCAGTTACGAATCCAATGAATGAATCGCAAGACTCTCGCTCAACTTACGTCGAATGTTTTTCCTCGATAAAGAAGCATATACGAACAGCCTGTTTTTGTACGTGTTTTTGCCTGGGCAGTTGGCCAAAGTGGAGTTAAAAGTATTTCAATATTCGCAACGAATGTTGTTATATATTTGCTGAGGTTGCCAACGGAGTTCCCAATATTTTTCAACACGTGTCGGGCTGGTTTTAAAAGGCCAAACCAAAGGAATGTGCGGCCTCTCCTAAACTGCAACCTGGAGGCAATTTAATATTGTAGAAGAATCTTCCATAAAAGCTGGCTATAAACCAATTATTACTTCCCGTCTTATAATTCTAATGACCATACCCTAAGCATCCACGTTTTATAGGCTTAATTGCAATTCTGGACAGTATTGGTCATACCCAATGGAATAATTAGCCCTAAAAACTTAACACAGAATACAAGTCGACCCGAATGTTTTAGCTGACAAATACATGTATTTAGTAAGCTTAAGTTCGTACAGAAACTTTTTCAAAGTAAATTTAAAACAAAATATTTAAAGCCTTTTCATTTGTGGGAGTCTTGCTTGGAGACACTAATGCTCAGGTTGCCCCTTTTGGCCATCACGACAAAATCGAGTGCAACTGCATAAAAATCTCTTAAAAATATTACAAATTGTGTAATATCTGTCAAAATACATTATAAATAGCATAACTCTAATGTGGTACTGTGGCTATTAAATAATTAAATCAAAACCCTTTTAGCAACTTGTGTGAACTGTTCTAAGAAAAAGCCACATAATGGCGTTTTAGTAATGATGAATGATGAATGATTAATCCGAAATATGTATATTGTCTGTAAAATACGGATAGATGTAATGGGCTCAGTGCCTGTTTTGAGCCATGGCCATTCATTATGTATTTAATTATATTGTCCACTCAACGTTATGGTCCAATTAATTACAAAATAATTTCAAATTAAATCATGTCATTGCAAAACGTTAAATGCATTTTTGTAGATTACAAAAACAAAAACCACTCGCACGCACACGGCCAATTGGCCGATAAAAGTTCATGAACTTTAAAGCCGAAATAATAAAAATTTATGGCCAAATAATTGCAATCTCATTAGGACAACCCCGAGAGCAGGACATGGACATGACACCAGTGCGATCCCGGCCAATTTGCAATTTGCAATGGCAGCAGCATTCGTGGGATGCGTGTGTATAAGTGCACGCATTTTGTAAAATATTTAACAATAATTGAGCGTAAAATAATCGCACAAAATGGGCCTCGTTCATCGAAAAATCCTCGCCGGGCAGCAAGCTCCCAACTGTCCGCCTTTCAGTCCCCAGTTGCTGTGCGCGTTAATTGCAGCGATTTTGTTGTCGCTGTTCCTGCAACATTGCATCGCATCGCATCGCATCGCTTTGCACATGGACACGGATTGCGGCGACAATTGTAATTAAATAGACACCACACACATGGCAGACGCTCTTTGCTCCTACCCTCCGAAAATTTATATGCTACAATCGACAGTGGCGGCGGTCAGACATGGGCAGATGCTGTAATGCAGCTCCATGAGATATCTCTGGAGTCTTGTAGCCCTATATTGTATACACTGTGGAATAAAAACGAAACTCTCCTCAAATAAACATCAGCTGTGAAATTAGCATTATTTTTGAAAGTCAAATGTCTAGTTGAGAATATTTAAAAACGTATATATCTTCTGTAAAATTGTACACGGCAAATATTACAGCTTACAATATATTTGTATATTATTTATATATATTTTATTTATATGCGTTTTTCATTTCACTACACTAAGATTATAAGTTTATTTCAATAGTTTTCAATTTTTAATTTGACTTGGATAAATAGAATTTGACAAAAATAATAAGTATTTGAAGTTCAAGAGTCTATTCAGAGGTATCTTATTTTTGATCCGGATTATAGAGTTCATAAAACGCTTATCATATAAATACATACACACAGAACTGTAGAAGATATATAATTCTAGCCACTTTCCATTAACAAAACAGCCAAAATTAAACATAAATATTACAAAATACAAAATATAAACAAAAACTAATTTCTTGTTTCGTGGTGTAATATATTTTTATTTTTTTCCGTCTAATTGAAGTAAGCAGTTTGGCAAGCCACATCCAACAAGCAGAGTGGCGCAGTGGAAGCGTGCTGGGCCCATAACCCAGAGGTCCGAGGATCGAAACCTTGCTCTGCTATGACAGAATTGGCATCAGATTTGACATTTGCCGTCAAGTCTTCAGTTCTAATTTTTTTTTTATTAATTAAGTCTTATTTTTAATGTAAACATTTAAATTATAATAATCAAAAAAAATAAATATTAAATTATATTAACTTATCTCAGTGTTTATTAATGTGATATTCATTGCAATCTTTAGCTTTTTATAAGAACGGAATCTAAAAATCAAAGCATCTTGTATTATTAACGTTAATTTCTAAACACTTTTTTAATTTACATCAACTTTTTAAATATATTTTGAATTTATTTCTAGCTTACTTTCAAAATTTCATAAGATTTTAACTACGCAGGCTTCATTTACCGATGAGCCTAAAAGCATGCAACAAAAATTTTTATAAATTGTGTGGTCTACTTCTTACCAGCTCGAAAAGTAATTTAATGATTCGCCCCAAAGTATGTATAATTTTAAATCATATTATAAAATACTAAATAACTACGGCTTATTTTGATGACCAGCATATGATAAAAATAAAATGGTTGATAAT